TGACTCGACGGCACTTAACAACAACAACAACATACCATTTTATATTCCCACCAACAATGTATGCAAGTTCCAAATCATTAACAATAGTTTCCCAACTAGAATGCTGTCCTGGTTGCACATATATAATGATGGTTCACACAGAGATTTGTGTCTTTACAATGTGTATCCATTGTGTGTAGAAAACATATGACTACTCTGTTACAGATTGAAAAATGTAAAGTGATGGCCTCCAAGAAAAAGCCCCTGTGGCTTGAGTTTAAATGTAGTGACCCTACAGCATTATCGAAAGAAACAATTGGAATCATCTTTAAACATGGTGATGATCTGCGTCAAGACATGCTCATCTTACAGGTATGCTGCAGTTAAGGATTCCCCACCCCACCCCCAATTATCTAAGGGGAAAAAACACAAACACACACACACACAAAGCACTCTACTTATATCTAAAAATACCTTCTACGGATTCTAGCCTCAGTCTCTTGTTTTTTGTATGATGAACAGGGATCAAAGATTACATAACAGAGCTTTTACTTGGGGAATATCGCTATGGGCTATTATATATGCAATTCGGTGATGATCATAACTGTCCATTCCTGAGAAGATGCATATCCAACGTGCCCAGATAACCAGATATACTTACCTTACCTCACCTCACCTCTGTACCACACATCATTTCAAGTTAGGTAACCAAGTATAGATGTGTTTGCTCCCCAGTACCTAGTCCATTCATATTCAGAGACATATCTACACAGCCATAGATACTTGCCTCTTTAGATATATTTATATACATACAAACTCATGAAGAACTTACTGGAACCGAGAGAAAAGATGAGCAAGTAAGTGAATTGTAGGAATAATACAATTAAGCCACGAGAATTATAAATCATTAACACTGAAGGTAAATGGTGAAGGTATCTTTGCTGATTATTTTCATATTCCCTAACATTTCTGGATACATTTTAGCTTCACAAATTGGTAAAGTAATAGTCTCCATTTTCTAGCTGTTCAAGGTTGTGAAAGTAGCATATTTCCACTGAGCATAATTGACATTTTAAAATAAACATGAGGTTAATTAAAATAGGTCCTAGACAAAGCCTTAAAGATTTAAATGTAGCCTATTTTAAAAACTGGCCGTGTTTTCAATTTGTTTTCTGTTTTTACTTCTTTTTGAGATGGAAACTTTTCTTTTTTGGCTTTTTTTTCCCCCAAGAATGGTATATGTTTTGTGCAGAGGTATTTAAAATATCCTTCAAGTCTTTTGAAAGTTTATTAAGCTTCAAATAAATCTGTAGCACTTTTTGAATTATCTGCAGATGGGTAGCTCAGAAGCACTACATAGCAGTGTATGGTTTCTCTCGTTTTGAAGGAATATTTGTACTTGTCCTTTATGCACTTTGTTTTGTTGTTGAAGCACTCAGCTTAGCAACTAAGGGAAAGTTATTTAAGTTCTCCGAGTCTTCTTTGCTTCACCTGCAGAATGGGGGTGACAGTCATATCCACATAGTAAGGTTAATACACCTAGGAAATGTTAGCTCTTAGTATCAATGTTGTTATTGTTGCTTTGGTTATAGCTTGCTAGGATAAAGTTTAGTAAAGGCTTTAGAATGCAATATTTTTGGGTTAATGGATGATGAAACCGGTCTAAAGCCTTATTCAAAAAGACACCCATTTACCCTCTTCCCCAAGGTTTTAAATTGAGAACATTAATAGGCTCCCAAAGAAAGGAAACCTTAGTATGATGATAAAGATAAGCAGCCATTACTTATTTAATTTAAGCTAACTGGTAAGTCTTGTGTTATCAAATAGGGAAACGTATGTTAAATAGATAAATACTTATAATGGCAATGTTTTGTGTCAACACAGATTTTACGAATCATGGAGTCCATTTGGGAGACAGAATCTTTGGATCTGTGCCTCTTACCTTATGGTTGCATTTCCACTGGTGACAAAATCGGTATGTGGTTAGCTCAGGAGATGAATACACCACTCAGTTGGTTTTGAAAGATCATAATTACTTCAGGGTGTGATCACAGTCCATATAAAAAAGAAAATGTTCCAAGGCTGGTAGATGTGTCTCTCAATGAATACATGATTCAAATCATTGTGACTATACATGGGAAAGATTGGCTAAAAATCTCTTCCCTCTCCATTACTTCTCTACCTCTAAAGTTTAACTCAAGTTTTTAACGTACCTTAGGCCTCTCTCTCCCCATTTATAAATAGAGAGAAGATCTGTCACTTACTTTAATATCCCAGAATACACATTATCAAAGCTATTGCACACTCTCCTTGTAGGTGCTTTTAGAGATATTTAACATTTTAATTTCAGTCAAGCATATTTTTATTCAAGTTCTGACTTCAGTACTGTACAGCACCATTTATATTTGACCCTGCAATGTGTAAGAGGAAAAGGCAAGATTGTCAAGTGAGGAAGGATATGCTGGGCATATCAATGCTTTTATTTATTACCATTCAAAACCACCCCTTTCCTTTTTCATTCAGGGATACTTGAAAGCATGTTCTAGACAACTTCCCTATCCCCCTCCTCTTCCTTCTCTTGCTCCTAAGAGCAGTAGACGCACAGACCTGGAAAACAGGCTTGTGGGCAGAAAGCCCTCTGTCTTTCACTCCGCAAAGAGGTAGCTGTTCCAACTCTGGGTCAGCCACTAGACCTCAATCCCCATCAAACTCTGTGCGTCCTCATGTAGGAATGATCGAGATTGTGAAGGACGCCACAACCATTGCCAAAATTCAGCAAAGCACTGTGGGCAACACTGGCGCGTTTAAAGATGAAGTCCTGAACCACTGGCTCAAAGAAAAATGCCCGCTAGAAGAAAAGGTGAGCTCCTGTGTTTCCCCACCCTGACGGCTCCTTATAAGCTGCCATCTGTGATAGCAGCAGTGGCTCCCCACATTCAAAGACTCTAAGGGGGGAAGACACCTTACTCCTGAGGTGGTAACATAACATATCTGTGCTAAACGGACGTCGGTTCATAACTCCATGAGCATTTGCCTCTCTTTTGATTATCAGCCATGCTTTGCATAAAATTTGGTTCTGTAAAATAATCTGTGAGCACTTTTTATAGATAGCTATCATTTTTGGTCAGCAGAAAATTTTAGCTAGCAGGTATAAATTAGAAGTCCTGGTGGCACAATGGTTAAGTGCTTGGCTGTGATCCAGATGGTCAGTGGTCTGAATTTAGCAGCAGCTCAGCAAGAGAGAAGACTTGGCGGTGTGCTCCCTAAAGACTTCCTCCTAAGAAACCATCCCCCACCCCACCCCGGGTTCACTTCTTTGTCATATAGTGTCAATGTGAATGGCAATCAACTCAGCAGCACACAGCAACAAAATGTATACATTCTTTCCTACCTGGAAAACTATCACATGCCTTATAAAATAATGTGTAGTTTACCACTGCACTGTAATCTAAATGGTGAAGTATAGATGAGGAAAATGTCAGTACCACCATTCCTCTAGAGTGCATACCTGAGTCCTTCACAAGCCCTGTGGTCAGGATCTTTGGCATTCTTTAAGGTTCTGCTATGCAGGCTTAGCACTTCTCAGTTATGGTTAGCACTTCTCGGCATGGTTAGCAGCCTTTGGAGAATGAAATATAATTAGTAGCATTTATTAGTCAGTTGTACATGTAGATTTAGGAGCCTTAATGGCTCAGTGCTTAAGCAATCCGCTGCTAACTGGAAGGTCAGATGTTCAAACCCATCAGCCACCCCTCAGGAGAAAGATGTGGTGTCTGCTTCCATAAAGGTTTACAGCGTTGGAAATCTTATGGGGGGTCACTCGACTCTGTCCTGCAGAGTTGGTCTGAGTTGGAATCAACTCAACAGCTGTGGGTTTATACCTGGATTTGTGAACTCATGCATACTACAAGTGGTTACAAGCAAAACTTATCTTCACCAATGAAGACGTGACCGCCGGCTCCAGATGGGTGCTGACAAGTGATGCATGGGGAGGAAGCGAAGCTTTGATCAAATTACTGTTGCTCTTGGACCCTAGTTATCTCTTCGTACTACTGTGAAACTTAAGCGGAGCAATTAGAAAGCTGGTACTTAATTAACATCTACAAAGCTAATGAAATGAGGTCTCATTCTTACTTGCTCTCTGAAAATGATTTCCAGCACACTGTCTTTTGGGGTGTAATTTATAATACTCAGGCTGCTCTCTGTAGATCCAACCCAACTAATACTCAGATGCATTTTAACTAGTTTCAGGCAGCAGTGGAGAGATTTGTTTACTCCTGCGCTGGCTACTGTGTGGCAACCTTTGTTCTTGGAATAGGAGACAGGCACAACGACAATATTATGATCACAGAGACCGGTGAGTTCATTTGTGGCCGAGTAGTTGTTAAATAGAGTTTAAAGCTGGAGTGTGTATTTAGAGGTCATTACTGGGAAAGGGCAGGTTGCCAGAGAGAGACTACCCACTTTGAAAACCAAGGGTAAAGGAAGAAGAGGCAGGGAATGAGATTTAAGAAGGAACAATCAGAGAGGTAGAGCCAAAAAACTAGAATAGTGGTCTATTCCAGAAGCTAGGGGAGGTGGGAATGATAAACATCCAATCTTGTAGAGAAGCAACAAAAAGCCTGGCAGATATTCTTAAGTCTGACCCTTCACTGGCCCACTGGCCACTCTGGCAGTGGTCAGTATTGGCTACTAAACCATGAGGCTTTTCTCTGTGAAAATTTAAGAGTAGAATCTAGAAATAGAAGTCGATTAGGGCAAATCCTTTACTCTCTGTGAAAATCAAAAGAGATAATGCATCAGAGAGGTTTTGGGCATAATTCTGACATACTAGCCAGAGTTTGATTTGTGTTTCTAAGAATCATTCTGAGACCTTGTTGATGGCATTTGGCTGTCAACTAAAGAAAACCGGAAAGTGATCAAAAGCACATACGGTTCAAAGAGTGTTTGTGGGTACTACTTTCACACACCTGCTAAGACGAAAACTATCAGAAGCTGATGAACAGAGTAAAAAATAGCTTTCTCACCCAAGACAGCTCATTTTCAGGCAACTTAAAAACTATTTCAAGAAGTAAACATCCCAGAGTGCTCTTACAGCACTCACCTACGCCAGTGTAATGATGTCAAACATCTTCTCCTCTTAAGGAAACCTGTTTCATATCGACTTTGGGCACATTCTTGGGAATTACAAAAGTTTTCTGGGAATTAATAAAGAAAGAGTGCCATTTGTGCTAACTCCAGATTTCCTATTTGTGATGGGAACTTGTGGAAAGAAGACAAGCGCACACTTCCAGAAATTTCAGGTAAGTTGCCTCCTCTCCTCTCCAGTGAACTGCTAACCAGGAGGAAGAGTGTCTGCAGGGCATGCTGTGTTCACCTCTCCCCCTTGCTTTGATGTTGGTCTGGCCTCAGCCCTCTGCTGGCCTGGAAGACCCTACCTTCTCCCCATCTCCTACATTCCTTCTCCAAGTGCAAAATGACTCTTCGGTAATCCTTATACCAGAACCAAACAGCAACCAAAATTAATTCATAATCAGTGTGACAGCTGTTTTCTGTTGCTATGGAATCCAACTCATGATGGCCTTGTGTGTTACAAGAGTAGAACCACACTCCATAGGGTTTCAAGGCTATGACCTCCTGGGAGCAGATTGCTTTCCTCCCAAGTGCCTCTAGGTGGGTTCTAACCACTAACCCTTCTGATAGTAATCAAGTATTTAACTGTTTGTGCCTCCCAGAAACTCCCAATCAAGGGGACTGGTAAATAAAAACACCAGGATGATGCTGGTATTGAAGAGAAATCTTTAAGAAAAAACTCTTGGGAGCAGATTTAGCCTTTAAATATACATTCTGGAAGTTGACTTCTAGCCAACTTGAAATTTTTTTAGGTAAAAATCTCTTGATTTTTGCTACAGGTGTGTAGCCATCAAATACTACCACAGAGAATTCTTGCTTGCACTGCCATTTGCTTTTGTCATTTGGGTAAGGCGAGATCCCTTCTCACACTTGAAAGCTTGTCAGCTTGGTCACAGGTTCTACAAAGCTCTAGGGCTCTTCCTGCTTACTTGACAAAACTGCATGAATCTACCCATCTCCCTGGGAGAGTGTTCAGAGTCTACTCTATTTTTCGTTCCTTCTAGGTCCCCATTCAGTTTTGACTATCAAATATTTTAAATATCCAAGAAGAAAATATTTCACATGTGCAAATTTAATAACTGTCTATGAATACAATTCAAAAAGTTGTAATTACTAACACAAATGCATGTAAACTCAATACCATCCCCCACTGCTGTTGAATTGATTTCTGACTTACAGTGCTCCTATAGGACAGGGTAGAACTGCTTCATAGTGTTTTCAAGGCTGTAGATTTTTACAGAAACAGACTCCCACATCTTCCTCCCTTGGAGCAGCTGGTGGGTTCAAACCACCGACCTTTCGATTAAACACTGAGCACTTACCCACTGTGCCACCAGGATTCCTTCAAGTATACTTATACAGACAGAAATACAGGCAGAGTGATTGCTTCATGTGTACATGCTTGCTTTGTTGTTGTTAAGTGCCATCAAGTCAGTTCCAACTCGTAGTGACCCTGTTTAGGGCTTCTGAGGAGCAGCTGGTGAGTTTGAATTGCCCACCTTGTGGTTCACCGTCCAGTGCTGATCCTACACCATGTGCCTTAGGTTCCCTTTAAATAGCCACCTCTTTTAGTGCATCTTAAACATGGTTTGATTTGCAATCTCAGTATTTCAAGCAAATCTTGTTCCTGATGCTCCCCCTAAGGCCCTGAGATGTTGGGAGAAAGCATGAGCTTTGAACTTCAATAGTACAGGACCTAGGGCATATCGTTTTGAAATGCATCTGCTCTTGCTTCTTCTCTTGGCTGATTCTGGATTTGGTGATTAGAAGAGTTGCCTTCCCCCAGGCCAATGGTGTTGTCAATGAGACAGATCTCTGAAGCCAGATGGTCTGAAGATTTCAGATTATTTCCAGGGACTTGACGCATTTCAGTCCTGTTTTTCTTTAAAATTAAAAACCACATATTTTGACAACTTCCTGAAAGAGAAAAAATGGTTTCACTGAAAGAAAACGCTGGAAGAATCTCATCATTCAAAGGGGGAAAGCACTCCCTCGATTTTCCTCTTCCACGTGTGAGGGCCATCTGACTGGCTCAGTAATGCTGCAGTTCACAGATGCAGACAAAAACAAGGACTTGCCAGGCTTGTCTGATTCTGCACATACTCATATGTTCTCTTTCTTTGTCCCAATAGCTTTACCTGGAGTGACTGCCCATCGTTACTGATGCTATCAACATTCCCATAGGCTCCTAGTGCCTGCCCAGGTCACCTCTTAAACTCCTAATAGTACTTCCCCCTTTGACTTCCTCATTATTTTCTAGTTTCCAAATATTCTTTAATGACAAATTTCTGGCATGGGGAGGCTTAGGAGAGGTTGCTTCTTGCCACAGAGGTGGCCTCCACCCAAAGCACCAAACCTTGGCATTGGTCCTTTGCACAGTCTGTCCTCCCAGTCTGGGAGCATGTCTCCATCCTCTGTTTCTCCAGCTTGTTCCTGATGGTGTGGTGTCATGGGTTAATGTGCTGGACTGCAAGGTCCTTTTGAACCTCAAGATCAGTGGTTCAAGGTCACCAGCCACTCCTCAGAAACCCTATACAGGGTCACTCTGGGTCGGAACCGACTTGATGGCACTTAACAACAACAACAACAACAAAGCAACATCCAGACCATGTGTACCACTACAAACACACTTTCATAAGAGTTGTCCTTGTAGACAACTGTTTTCTTCCATTGTAAGTGCCTGTGAATATCATATGATGAGCCTTAAACATCAATACTAGCATAGGTGTGGTGCTGCGGGATAAGCATTGGACTGCTAACCACAAGGTCAGTAGTTCAAACCCACCAGGCACACCTTAGGAAACTGATATGGTCATTATGAGTCAGAACCAACTTAACGACATTTAACAACAACATAGGTTGAAAGGATGGACTTTGTAGCAGACAAAGAGATTTGGATCCTGGACTTAATAGCTGTGTGCTTGGCTATTAAGATCACTTAATCTTTTTGAATCTGTTTTCTCATTTGTGGTGGTGGTGGCGGTGTGGTTATGCGCTGTGGAGGTGGTTCCGACTCATAGCAACCCTAGGTAGGGTTTCCAAGGCTGTAAATCATAAAATGGGGATAACACTCCTCCTCACTTCTCTGGCTGGTTGGCTGGCTGCCATTGAGTCGGTCCTGACTCATAGTGACCCTGCATAGGGTTTCCAAGGCGGTAAATCTACAGGAGCAGAAAGCCTCTTTTTTCTTCTCAGAATCACCTGGTGGACTTGAACTACTGACCTTGCAGTCAGCAGCCCAATACATAGCCCATTACACCATTTGGATAACACCATGTGGTTATCTGTTGTTGTTATGTGCCATTGAGTCAATTCCAACTCATAGCCACCCTGTCTGTATAGGGTTTCCAAGGAGCGGCTGAATGATTTGAACCATTGGTCTTGTAGTTAGCAGTCCGATGTTAATTCTGCAATGCCACATCAGCACCCCAAGGGATTATTTAAATGATACCAGTAAAATGCTTAGCCCACTGTCTAAACTACAGCAGACACTCAGTAAATAGTAGTTTGTAGACATCACAGTAGATCTTCAAACTTTGGAAACTTAAAGTTGAGAAACCCTTTCAGCAGGGAATCTCAGACACAACTACCATCGTACTAAACGTGAAAATTTTACACTGTTCTGGCTAAAGAGCAAGTGGAGTCCAGAACTCCACCTGTCTTGCCTCTGTTCTCTCCCCCACTCTGTTCCTTCTCCCTTCTCCTCCCCCTTCCTCATTCATAGCAGGAACCACACTAAACACCACAGAATTAAATTATGTACATGAAAAGTTTATAAAGTTTCCAGCTTGACAAAGACAAGCTGCCAGTTTCTCATCATTTGACTCAGACCTGTCATAACCTTTGTATACAGTTAAGCCTTCCAGGAAAGAGCTCAGGTGGAGCCGTCATTACCACATTCACAGCTAACTGTAAGGTCAGGGGTTCTAACTCAACAGTTGCTCTGAGAGAGAAAGATGGGGCAATCTGCTTCCGTAAAGATTTAATAAAGCTGCCACATTTAGATAAGCTAGGGGATATTGTTAATAACCTGCGATATGCAGGTGATACAATCTTGCTTGCTGAAAGTGAAGACAACTTAAAATATTTACTGATGAAGACCAAAGACCATAGCCTTTGGTATGGATTACATCTCAATGTAAAGAAAACAAAAATCCTCACCACTGGACCAATAAACAACATTCTTTTCTACGGAGAAAAGACTGAAGTTGTTAAATACTTCATTCTTCTTGGATCAACTATCAATATTCATGGAAAGAGCAGTCCAAAAATCAAACGATGTATTGCATTAGGAAAATCTGCTGCACAGGAACTTTTTAAAGTGTTGAAGAGCAAAGATGTCAGCTTGAGAACTAAGGTGTGTCTGACCCAGGCCATGGTATTTTCAATAGCCTCATATGCATGTGAAAGTTGGACAGTAAATAAGGAAGACCATAGAAGAATCGATGCTTTTGAGTTATGGTGTTGGAGGAGAATATTAAAGTGCCATGGGCTGCCCATAGAACCAATAAATCTGTGTTGGAAGAAGTGCAGCCAGAGTGCTCCTTGGAGGCAAAGGTGGCCAAACTTCATCTTGCATACTTCAGACATATTGTCAGGAGAGACCAGTCACTGGAGAAGGATATCATGTTTGGTAAGGTGGAGGGTCAGAGAAAAAAAGAAAGACCCCCAACGAGATGGATTGGCCAAGTGGCAGCATCAATGGGCTCAAGCGTGGCAAAAATAATGAGGTTGGCCCAAGATCAGGCAGTGTTTCATTCTGCTGTCTATAAGGTAGCTATGAGTCGGCACCGACTAGATGGCACCTAACAACAACAACAAGGGGACATTGTATATAGTGACATTTTTAATGGAAGTTGTGCTCATTTACAGTCAATCCCTAATTCTGAGTTGATAAGGTTAATTAATATAGGCATCATATTTTAAGATTCTGTTAGGAAGAATGGAGAAAAGTTGATCCACTGTTTGATAAGGGCGAGGTAAACCTTCTCCACAGAGAATTAAAAACATGTGTAGCCCAGTGGTCAGAAGATGGAGGGAAGAGGAACTGAAAGAGGAAAGCTGTATGGGACCTCACCCCCCTTTTTGTTTCAAGGTAGCGAATTCATCTTAGGGCCATTGTCATCAGTTATTTCTCAAATAGGGGAGAGTTCAGAAACAAACTAATTGC